ATATCAGTATCAATTTATAACCCATGATGAAGACTTCGTGGAATATTTTCAAATTTCAGATGAACTGAATAAAACAGCAGAGCAAACAAAAAAACAACAAGAATCAGTAGCCCACGTACCCGTTTCGACGTCGGAGGAAGCGATGGACCTTCGTCGTGAGAGAGAGCAGCGGACACGATCGTCGGCTGGGCCAAAGAGAAAATGGCAACTATCGATTTAGCATGAGAGAGGAGAATCGAAGTGGCTTCTGGCGTGGAGAGAAGGGAAAGGGAAATGGCGTTGCTACGGGAGAGAAAAGGGTTTGCTTCTTCCAATTGCAGGGAGAGGACGTAGCTTGTGGGAGAGAAGGGTTTCCTTCTTGCAGGGAAAATCGATTCCCAGATGAAACGAGGGAAAGTGTATTCCTCAATCTGGTGGTAAATAGGTCACGTGAGGGGAAAATGAGAAAATGCTTTCATTGGAAAATTTAGCTTATCAAATATGTCAAAAAGTGGGAATTAGAATTTATTTTCCATCTTTCATGGAAAAAACTGCCTATCAAACATGGCCTTAATTTTGAGTAGGGGTGGACGTGGTTCCATTTGGTTAGGTTCGGTCCAAGAGAACCAAACCAAACCATGAATCAATGATTTTTTTTTATAATAGAACCAAATAATTCTTTTTAAGATGCGGAACCGAACCGTTCGGTTTGGTCGGTTATAGTACTATTACTTAAATTTTCAGACTTGCGTCATATCCATAAGTTACTAATATATACTTAAATAAAAAATATAAGCATCAAACATTTAGCAAGTTCAAATTATTAATAATCAAGATCATAAAAGTCNATTCTAGTGCTATTACTTAAATTTTTATACTTACATCATATTCATAAGTTACTATTATATACTTAAATAAAAAATATTAGCATCAAACATTTAGCAAGTTCAAATTATTAATAATCAAGATCATAAAAGTCTATCATGATAACGTACGTTGTACTGTACCAAATTCCAAAAAATAATATAATATTGAATAATAAGAAAATATTTGTAGTCTACTTTAACTTTTTTTTTTCCAAATGGACTTAGATCATAATTCAATAAAAATATTGTCTGATTATAATTTTTGACTAATATGTATAAAGTTGCACAAANNNAATATGTATAAAGTTGCACAAAAATGAAAAAAATTATGAA